GTGTCCTGATGTCTGTGTGGGTATCCTCTGCTGATCAAGGAATCTCTTTCTGGTTGTAGTTCAAAGGGAGAGAGACAAAGGGAACAGCTCACTCCACCTTGTTGCTGACATCACTCTCTGAAACTCGGTATTTTTTAAACTGTCAGTTCTCCCCATTTTGATCTATAGATTCAACTCAGTTCTGGTTATAAGCCCAGTGAAATGTTTTTGTAGATATTCACACACAAGTTCTAGTTGCAAAGCACTTTTTAAAGAGAAGAGCAAAGTTGGAGGCTCACACAATAGAGGAATCTAGGTGACAGGTGAATGAGAACCCTCTGTACTATTTTGTGAACTCTTTTGTGAATCTAAAATTATCTAAAATAAAATGTTTAAAAATCAAGCATAATTTATGAAGCTTATAATAAAAACAGCACTCCCTGCCCTATTGTTTCCAAGCCTAGATTCTCACTCTTAAAATATCTTTCTGATGTTTTATCTACATATTTCTAAATAAAATGCTTTTTCTGTCATTTTTTGATTTTTCACTTTAAGATGTTATAGACTTCCTTCTGTGGAAGATTAAAATATGGCTGTATAGCTTTCACTACTACACACACTTCTCCCCAAACTATCCAATGTGGTCGTAATTTTTGTTTAACGTATTTATATGCATATAAACACACACACACATGCACGCACGGATGACTATGTGAATACTGTTTGAGCTGAGCCATATAATGTACTATGATTCTGTTTCCTTTCTGGTAATTTTTGTTTGTTTTTCCTGAGTAATCATTGACAATTATTTTGATTGCTTAGTTTTCTAGGTTCCTATCACACATTCACTGCAAAAATTTCCAAAATCATTACAGTTCTTCTCTCAAAACTGTCTACACATCAGATAATCTTCCAATGCCTTTTATTTTTCTTGGAGGCACCGTACACGATCCCTTTTTTGTTCTGCTCCATCCAGACTGGTTCTTTCTGGGTCTACAGAACAGCTGTTATCCTGGGACTTCCCCTCACTGTGGTCCCAGGAATCCTCTTTTTGTTTGGTTTGGTCTATGTTTTCATGCCAGAGGATTTTTTCAAGTGGGTATAATGTCATGTTTAATAATGAGGCACTGATTGAAACTCTGCCTGAGTGGCATGTGGATAATCTGCCCTGGATGGAGGTGTTTGATAGAGGGAGGTCCGAGTGTTAGTATTTGCATGTCTTTTTTTCCTGGGCTGATCAGTGTCCCCAAAAGAACAGCCCATGTCCTGCCTCAGGGTTCTGTGTGGGTGTCCCAGGGTGTGTGCTGTGCTGGAGAGGTTCTCATGAGCGCTTCTTCACATTGCCCTCAGAAAAGCCCTTCTCATCTTACTTACAGAGGAGGGTGGGTGGAGGGTAGGAGATTTCTCCTTTTACCCTGTTCTACACCCAATTTTCAGAGGTCTCTAGTACCACCAGTTTCTCTGCCTTTCTGGGAATCTGTGGCCGGAACTGGATGCTTCCTATTTACTCCTTCTCTAGACACTTAAGTTTGAGCTTTCTGTGCCCTTCTAAGTCAATCACCATTTATCCATCTGCTTTACAACTTCCAAAATATCATCATATTTTATCTATTGTGTTCTCTTTTTCCATCCCTTTTAGTGCCATCATTTTAGTTGAGTATTGGGAGCTGGTGAAGATAAATGTATGCTCATTTTGCCATGTTTAACCATGGTCAACTTCATTGTCTTCCTTGTATATGATGCTGTTCTTGACTTGCATTTAGTAACAGCACTGTTTCCTGGCTTGGGTTCCCTGTGGCTGCACTGCCTCACGTTGTTCAAGTCACGTGATTAGGTGTATAGAAAACGAGAGAAGACCATTTGTGTTTAGGCTGGTATGGAATTAACTGCATAGTCAATCCTACATAATGGAAAGTTGTCTCATCAGTAGCTGTTGTGATAATGAGTCAAGGATATGGTTCCTATTTAAATTCATCAATAAGGTTCAACTTTTATGAATGACAATTTTAAAATGTCAAAAATATATTCATTTGCAGTGGATGCTGAAATAACTTGGCCTTCGTTTTAGGGGTTATAAACATGGGATTTGATACTCTGTATTCATGCAACCCATCCCTTGCTTTATTTAGATTCTCAATTATTTTTGTTGTATCACATGTATTATGGGAAATAGGTTGAGTTAACTTTTTATTTTTAAGTTCACTTACAGCCTTAACTGTGATCTTGCAGAGTAGACTTGCCCAGTTTTGAACACTCTGCTAAGGTAAAGATAAGTTTGGCTAATGAAAGGACTAAAGCAAAAAGTTTGCACTGTATTTCTGATTTGATGATTTCATTACAATCAAATTAGTGTTTTCTGCTCTCTCTGTACAATGTCCATTCCTGGGATACCTATATAAATTAAATTTATTAGTCACTTAATAAATAAAATTAATAAATACAGAATTCTACTGTAGATGCCTTATGGTTTTATTTTCAAAACATTTAGAAAGGGACTAATTCAGAGAACATAAATTTTCTCCAAGAGGTTGTTTAAATTCAGTTGACATTTTAATGTGGGTTACATTTGAACTCAAATGCCACATGCATTTTTAAGGCTGATTCGCTGGATTCTCTCACTGGTACGTTGTGTTTCTCACTACACTGTTCTTTCATATTGCCTTGTGTCTGAAATGAACCTAATTTTGAAACGTTTTACATTTTATTTCCTGGGATAATCATGAGTTTGGAGGGAACTACACATTGTTAGTGTCTCTGTAAATAACACGCATTGACTGATAAAAGTAAGGTAAACATTGTGTTACTTAAATGTTTTTAACTGCCCATAAAGAGCTGAGTAGAAACTGGATTACAGTGTACAGTTACCCATTTTCTAATACCTTCTTTTATTGAACTTATTAAGGTGTCTTTTTTTTAGTGTTGTTTAGGGAATAAAAATCAAGGGAAAACAAAAAGAGATTTACATGTCAAAATGCTCATGTACACACAGCTCTAACTGGAGATTGAACAGGGTCCCTGAGAACATAACACGTTAACTTTCTCTCTAATGGAGACAGAGTTTCCCATGTTATACTCCATTCCCATTATATCGTTTTGGGCCCAAAGCCCTTGGAGCTCTTTCTGCTGTCTTTTCTGACTTGTCCCCTGATTCTCCCCTCAACGGTTCTCTTACCACATGCTCATGCCCCTGAGCACATGGATAGAAATGCTATATTATTATATGTGACCATAGGGCTCCATGCAACCCTATTTCCTTAGCACCTCTTCCAAAGCACCCTCTACTCTAGCCAAAACCAGAACCTACTTAAATCCTGTCTTGGCACGTGGTATTCTCTCTGTGTTGGAGTCCCCTCTCCCCTTGCCCTTGTCTCTCTCTGCCTGATGAATTCTTACTCATCCTTTAGGACTCAATTTAAAATGTCAGCTCTTCTGTGGACCCTTTCTTGGTCCTCCCAGGCTGAGTGAGTTTGCTTCCTCCTGTAGTTTCCCACAGCACTGTTCTGGAGAAACCACCATTTGTGGTTTGCCTTCCTGCCTCCCCCAGAGGGTGAACTCCTCAGGTCTGGGTTTGTTTCCAGGACCTAGCGTGGGTTCTTATTTATGGTGGGCTCTCAATAAGTTGTTCACAGATGAACGGACAGTGAACTGAAAGAAACAGTTGTTGAATAAATAAGTGCATCTGTTAAAAGTAAGATCCAGACCAGTGCTGAGAATTATCATTCAGATTCTCTATCCTATTCTTGTCTTTATTCCATTATCATTCTCACATTTTCTTAGGAAAAAAAATTGCTGTCTCGTGTTGGATAAGTACTAGCTTTAATATATAAAAAAGGAAATATTTAAGACTGATATCCTATAGCTGGTTCTGAACCTTAGAAACTACCCAAAAGGAAGACTTGGGCCTCATTCCCAGTAATTCAGCAAAAAAAGCTTAAGCTTTATGTACCAACTCTAGAAAAAAAGAATACACTCACTGATTGTAGGAAATGAAATTGCAGATAAAAAGATAAACGTGAGTTATGTAATTCAATTTGATTATTTTAGTTGTAAAATTATACTGTTGCATAGAAGCTTACAGATTTTCAGGGAGTTTGGTCATAGAGCAGGGATGACTACAGAATCTCAGACAGCATTGAATTAAAAATAAAAACATTGTTTTGACTATTTAAAAATGTGTGAGTTAACTGGGGCTGGCCCCGTGGCATAGCGGTTAAGTGCTTGTGCTCCAGTGCTGGCAGCCCCGGTTCGGATCCCGGGCGCACACCGACCACCGCTTGTCAGGCCATGTTGTGGCGGCGTCCCACATAAAGTGGAGGAAGATGGGCATGTTAGCTCAGGGCCAGTCTTCCACGGCAAAAAGAGGAGGATTGGCATGGATGTTAGCTCAGGGCTGATCTTCCTCGCAAAAAGAAAAAAAAAAGTTTGAGTTACAATAATAACAATAGTAATATATTAATAATAATGAAAGCTTGTTTATGAGACATTTTATGCTTCCAAAGTCTGGGAAGTATTTTCACATGTGTTATGGAGAACTTCTTGTCCTGAAAATATTACCTAATACTAAAAATAAAGTCACATACCAAAAGCACTGCTTTTTGAATTTAGGCTTATAATCTATGTTCTCCTAATTTGCATTTTTTTAAAATTAATAAAATGATGAAATATTTACTGAGGATTATAATGACTCAAATTGGAAACTTGGAATTTTTTTTTTTTAAATATAGTATTTTATATGTTTAGAAATGGGGTGAGGTTTAGTATTTGGTCTCTCTAGGATAACCCAGATTTCTAATCATCATGAGAATTTTTCTTAGCCAAGCATTTATTCATACTCATAACATTTATGCAACCTGAAGATTCTGATGGCACTCTGGTGTTCCAGCGTATCAGCTTCGATCTATGGAGTGTGTAGTCACTGCTGGTTTTTTTGTTTGTTTTTGCTATATCTTCAAAGTGGTTTATTGTCCACTAAGAGCCTAATAAATGTATAATAAATGTCGTATTTGTTGTGTTACTTGTAGGTACTGTGGTCTTTGGAATTGGGTCACTGGATTTCTGAGGAACCGTTTGAACTTTCTAACTACTTCCCTGCAGCTCCTGTAAGTCAGATGTTATTTTATGATGGTAAATACAATTTGATACTCTCAGGAAATTATTATAAGCATAGATAAAGACTGAGGTTTTTATTATATCAAGAGCAATTATGCCCATAGTTAAAAAGACATATTCACAGAACTTAACACTTTTTATCTATTTGTGAGAACAAATGTGAAAATATTCTGCAAAAAGTTATGAGGAATGCAGTCCCCCAAATTTTTAATTATAAAAGTCCTCAGGATTGAAAAAAACTAAAATGAAAAAAAAAGAATAGATTCTTGAGAAGGTAGTAGTATATCGTGCTTACTGCATTAAAAAATAGTGCTTTTACTGTTACTAGAGATAGAACTGATGGTATAAAAATTGTGGCCTACTAGCATTATGATGTGGTCTTTATATTTTGATGTTTTTCCTAAACTCAACTTTAACTCGACTTACTTTTACTTTTAAGTATTTCAAATGCCTAATGAAAAAGTTCCAGGTTCTGATTTTTTTAAAAATTAAGCAATAATGAAGTAGGTAATTTAAGGTTTGGTTGGAAGCAGGATTGTGCAGAAGTTGGCTTCATTTTTAAAAATGCTAACTGGTTTTTGTGACAGTTTATTCTTTGAAAAGATTAATACCTGAAAGATAAATAGTGCTTTTTGTCTGCGACCAGTCTTCATGATTTTTAGTTGTTATGCCATGCAACTATACCATAACAAGAAGTTGAAGTCTGACCTCTCATCACTGTCATTAGCTAGGTTGTTGGGTTGCTTATGTTTTCATTTTTAATATTGCTGTTTTGATTTCCTTTCAGCTTTATAAATATTTTCTTAAGAAAAGAGAAAATTCCTCTCATTAAGACTCTTTGTTCATTTGAAATACCATGTAAGGAATTGAAGTGTAAAATAAAAACACAAAATCCTCCCATTTTCTGTCATAAGACAGTATATATAAGTCTGAATAGCACAGTGAGGTTTGTCTTTGAAATTCACTTTATCTGCCTACGTGGGCAAGTGATATAAGTTACGTTGTTGCCAATTTTTCCTGTATTATGCCTCCCCCCTTGGTTATCTGTCACGCGGTCGTTGAGATATCCTGGAAACTTTCTTATGAAGTGGTGATATTTTCTTATTATCAGATGTTTTTTTAACTTGATACAAAGCTGTGATACCTCTGTTGAATTTATAATGCCTTCTTAAATGTAACAAGAGGAACTATCCTAAGATGGGGAGGTTCTTTACTCGGTTAATATACTTGCTGGGAAAGTGCAACATGGTGAAAAGGCAGAGCGCTTGACTCTTCCAGAGTACATAAATTGGCTTAAAACATGTAGCAACAAGTGGGTGTTGTAAAACTAAGTCAGGGGGCCAGCCAGTGGCACAAGCGGTTAAGTGCATGTACTCCGCTTCGGCAGCCTTGGATTCGCAGGTTCAGATCCCGGGCATGCCCCAATGCACCGCTTGTCAAGCCATGCTGTGGCGGCATCCCATGTAAAGTAGAGGAAGATGGGCACAACGTTAGCTCAGGGCCAATCTTCCTCAGCAAAAAAAGAGGAGGATTGGCATCGGATGTTAGCTCAGGGCTGATCTTCCTCACAAAAAAAGTAAAACTAAGTCGGGGTAGGGGTGCATGTAGGGGTAAAATAAATTAGATAAGAAAAATGGAATAAAGGAAAAAATAGTGGCAGAACAGTATAAGGTGAAGAAAGACACGAGGTAAATGCTGGTTGCACATTTGGCTCGAAGCTTCCTAAGAGCTGCCTCAAAAGCAAATATATGAGAAATTGCTTCCAAATTACAAAGCATTGCACAAATGTTCATTAGTATTAATTGTACTATGAAACTTCAGAGTTAAAACTTTAGGAGTTTAAGGTTTTGAAGTCCTGAGCTTAAATCTATGCTCTCAAAATTTTCTGTAAACATTTGAATGTACTATAAACATCAGATTTTGTTTTTGCACTCCAGAACACTTTTTTTTTTAAGTTTGCTGGTAGACATTAAAAAAAATCTTACTATTGCAAATTGTTTTTTTCCTTAAATAATTTTAAAGGTGAATCTTAGCTTGAGAAGTGTAGCTTTGTAAGAATTTTAAATGGAAGGGTTTTCTCAACCACAAATTAAATTGTAGCCTACTTCTCTAAAATACATCTTACTGGGAGAGAAAAAAACCTCTGTATTAGAGTAGTGACTAAAAGATAGTAAAGCCTCTTTGTCATGAAATTAAATGTATAATTTTCTTCATCATTAAAAATCAAAATTTTCCTTGTCTTGAGGCAAATCAGTTTTTGGGAATCAAATTACAAAATTGTAAATATTATCATAATAGTTAAATGTGGTCATCTCACCTAATAAGTTATATTTAATTACTAAAAATACCTTCATATTTAACAGCCAGGCAGAAAAAAATAGTACAATCTTCATATAAACTACAAGAACACACATTTCTATTAATAATTTCAGAGTCCTGGAAGTTTTCACCATATAAACTTGAAATATATATTTGAGCATTAACTTAAAACTAAGCTGTCAACACATATGTAAATATGCTCTTTTCAAAATGAAAATTCAAAGCACCTAAAAGGAGGAGTAAAAATGCATTAATTATGTTTTTCCTTCTCCGAATATTAAAATGCTAATAACCACTTCTCAGAAAATCCCTGAATATATAATAGATATTTATGACTTAGAGAGTTTTTTTCTTCCTTTTAATTATGATAGTGATGCTGAATTCAGGACATATGGATATTTACACAATCTATAAACAGTGCTTAGAAGAATGCAGTTCCAAGATTATCTCTACTATATAGCATAAGTGTTCTGTTTTCCAGTTATTTACTGATGAGCTCGCACATAACATTCTTTGTTTTGACAAGAGTCTGTAAATTGTCAGTCTTATTCGCAAGCTTGGATTTATCTTTGCCCAGGCCTTCTACCAGGTCACAATACCAGGTTGTTGCTTGTTCTGGGTTGAGCTTTGGTTCGTACAGTGGTGCAGGTTTAAGTGATGAAGTTTACAGGCTCTAACCTGGAGCACATGGACCCCTTCTGCACCCGAGAGCATGCCTCTGTCTGAGGTGGAAGAGGAGACAGTATGCAGCTGTGTCTTTTAGAGCTTTGGGGTTACGTCTTTGAAAACAGTACAATACACCCTTCTTCAGGTGTGTGCGGCATTTAAAAATCTGCTGGTCGGATCATCATGGTGGTGGCCTTGAGCGAGTAGCCCGACCCCTTCCAATAGTACCACTTAATCCCGTTGAATTTATTTGTGTTCTGCCTCTGTGGGTAGTACATTCCGTTCAAGTTGGAAGGACCACATGCATCAAACCACCAGCCTGTGAAAGTAAAACACAGAAGGAATTAGGAACTAGGTAACCCCAACTACCTTACCATGGAGTGGGATATACTCGGCTAATCCACTAGTCACATTCCACGCATTTTAAGTAGGCAAATATCCTTGAGGATAGAATGTGCTACATCGATAGATGAGGAGTACGGTTTTCCGCCTTTACACTGGTTAAAGCACAGTTCCATTATGGCAAATGTTTTTACGAGCTCTCTTACTCCATTTCTCTTGTGCTTTGTGGAAAGGCCAGTCATCCACAGACGTGAATAGGGGGCCATCCTCCATAGTCCTGATTTGGTAAGCACACAGTACAGTTGAAAGTATGGATAAGTCAAAAACTGAAGAATCGTTGGATGGCTCTTGTCAGGCCAGGATTACTTTCTAGTTCCAGCAACATAGTGGACTGGACAGGTTCAGGCTCCACTCCCCTTAACAAAGAAATTCTTTTTGTTTAAAATATAACAAATTGTAAGTACTCAGTGGAGCTAGATAAAAAGGAAATCTTTAAGTCCCAGAGACAAAAAGGAAATTTAAAGCTGTAGTGGCATGCTCACTAAGGTAAAGCCAGGGGGCAAAAGAGGTGCCTGGCACAGTGAGGTAAGGGGGTGGGTCCACATCTACTCCTGAATGCTAGGCTTGGGGTTTTAACGCCCTTACCTAGAAACAAGAGCATGCCAGAGGCCCTGGGTTTGCGAGGGGAGGGAATGACCTCGATCTATATGCATTAATCTGAATAAACTGTAAAAACATTGTGTTGGAAGAACACGTACAGGATGATGCCATTTACATAAAATTTTAAAATACAGAGAAAAGGAACAACTAGTATTGATATTTCCATACATAGTAAAATAAATAATGTGAATGAACCTCGAGTCAGTGGTTACCTCAGGGCAGCTTTAGTTGTATCTGTGAGGTTTTATTTCTTTAAAAAGTATTCTAATGGACAGAGAAAACTGGACTGTGGTTACCAGGGCAGTGGGGGTGGGGGGTGGGCACAAGGGGTGAAGGGAGTCATATATGTGGTGATGGACAAACAAAAATGTACAACCCAAAATTTCACAATGTTAGAAACCATTGAAACATCAATAAAAAAAAAAAAAGATAAAAAGATAAAAAGAAAAAAAAAAAGTATTCTAATGAAATTATTATGTTAATATTATACATGGGACTGTGATCACCTAAATTCTTTCCTGATGGTAGCAGCTCCGTGGCTTGAGTTGATTTGAATTAATGTCACTTTGATAAGACATTTGTGTTTGTTATTCAGTATCTTTTAAAATACTCGAGAATATTACAGATTTATAGGTCTGTCCATTCTGGACCCTGTTACTTGGCTTCACTACAGAATTTACTGTCCATGCAGAAATCTAGCTGATCGTTAGGCTGGCTTATCTCTGGTCCAGACCGTGGAATCTGACTTCTTAAAGTCGGGACCGCTCCACTTTCTGTCTTGGGCTGCGTTTCTTCTCCCCAGTCTCTTTTCCCCTTCCACTCTCAGCCCTAAATCTTGATTAGAATAAATAAATATATTGTTTCCTTGGTTATTAATGCACTTCCCCTACTCTCTCGAGTAGCTCATGACACACGGGTGGTCTGAAAACCGCCGCCCTATCGAGTCGACAGCTGGGTTCAGGGTGGGAATGGCAGACGGGAAAAAAGGGCTGGGTATATTTGGTGCCCCCACCCATGCCTTTTCCCCTTTTCATTGGCTTTTAAAAGGATTATTACAGTAGGATGAGGGAGACAGGCAGCTTTTACACAATCAATGTAACAGCCTTCTCTCATTGAAATAATTCTTGAAGTAATTATGTCAAAAGAGGAGACCCGTGTTGCCAATTATATTTATATATATAAATATATTATCTAAGGAACCATAGGATTGATTTCTGTAATGGAGGCCAATTCTTTCGGTATTATTTTAAAGACATGAAAATTACTGAATTTCAAATTATTTTCATAAATAACTTCTTCCTTTTGACTCTAAATGATTCTTAACTGAAGTGTGAACACACAATAAGCTAAAATCTCTTCCTTGCTTACGCAGTACCTTATATTTATAAGATATATCAACTATAGCTCTTACCTTTGGTTTCCCTCGATGAGTAAGGGGTGGATTTTTGGTAATACAGTTTATGGTCTCCGGATTAAACCTGCCAATTTCCCGTCTGCCTTACATTCAGTTTGCACTATTGGCAGAGTTTTTGTTGCTGTTTTAAATCTTTCAATGTTTTTAAGAACTAACTTGACAGCATTTGTCAGTCACTATTAACTGGTTCCAGTTATTCAATTTTTTAAACTTTTAGAAATCAGAAGAATAAGTTTTTTAGCAGTTGGTTCCTATCATTGAACTCTTAAGTGTTTCTAAATACTGATTTAGCCATTTTAAGTGACTGTTACAACAGTCCTTTGCTTATGGGTATGTTTCCCATTTTTTTTAAAGCAGTCTGACATGGAAAGTAGAACAGAAGAAGAACCTGAAAATAAAGGCCTTAATTTAAAGTGGACAATCATTCATTTTAATTTGATGCCCTAAAAAAGCAGGTTGGTTAATTAGTTTCTTTGTGTTTATAAGTATTTGCTATATATTAATGAAATCCTTAAAAAAGACAACGGAAAATTCCTTGTTTGAACAATAAGTTATTAATTGGAAACATTTCTGTAGTAATGGATCTATATCACTGTTTGGTTGCGATTTTGAATTTTTAACCTTTTAATAAAGCAACATGAAATTAAAGCATCTCTCCAACATCTGATGCTCAGTGAGCACAAACTCAAGAGAGCCTGCTGAATGTCACATGTCCCCTCTCCTCGCCAGGGCTAGGTCCTGAAGAGACACAGTTGGCCTGCTGACAATTCTAGCTCAGTATCACGTTCTTGCTTAAACTCAATAGTCTGAAAAAGTGAAAAACAAGTCTCCCTATATCAAGCGTGTCTATTTATGAAATGTGGACATTGTCACCCGTCACAGGGTGAAGTCCAAATAGCCAGCCTTTCACTCCATGAAATTCTTCCTTGCCAACACAAATAGGAAGAGAGAAAAGTCATCTCACCTCCTGTGAGCATTTGTGAGCATTTGCAAATACATTTGTCGTTGTCTGCATCCTTTGTGCTAAAATCATTTCCTGGTTGGCTTATGCTGCTTATTTTGCCGGCTGTCCCTGTAAGTCCTTTAAGGTGAATCCTGTAAATAGGCAAAGAAAAAAAACAGAAGAACGTAATTGGCTTGGGCTGTTGATTTACCGTAGTGGAAAATTTTTTATAATGAAGAATTCGTTCCACAGAAATGCGTTCTGTGCTGGTTAGTGCACTAATGCATACTCTGGACAAAACAGTTTCGCACTGGTATAAACAGGAACCAACTTATCATCAAATCCTTAGGCAAAGAGGAATGTTTTCATGGACGCTTCAACGCATATCACTTGCACAAGCATCAGCAGGGACTTCAGGGCCCTGTAATTTATTTTCCTGCTGCTTTCAGATAAACAGAAGAGGGGAAAATACAGCATGAGGGGATCCTCTTTCCAGCTCTCCAGGCAACATCCATATAAAAATGAGAGTCCTGAGATGACTGGACAGCTTCAAACATGATTATTTTCAGTGCAATGGTGGGGGTGGGGAGGGCAGCAGACAACAAGGAATGATCATTGAATTTGGAGTAGAAATCTACAGAACTGTGTACAAAATAAATCCTCATGGCTGCTTTGCCTCTTTTCTTTATAGTATTGTCATAAACCCACTAGACGTTGAGAAAGAAAGAAATGTAATAAGTTAGACACTAGATAATAGCCCACACTTTCAGAAGATGCCAAAAATCTGGCTTGCACAGTGATCTGTGTGCCAATGAGGAGAATGGAAGGGAAGGAGAAGGTATGTAAACTGCTTCAGGAGAGCCTATGCCAGATTGGCTCGGTACAGCTCAGAGCAGGGCTTCACGTGACGGCATGTGACTGTGCAGAATGCGACATTACTGTGTTGGTAAATGGAGTGTGGGAGTATGGGAGCCTGGGTCTCCCGCTGAGTCTTCCCGTGCTGGGGATCCTACAAAACAGAACCCTGCAATGTCGGAGGGACAATTGTACTTTAAGCCCCAAAATGATGCTCATCTTTGTAACTTCTGCTCACATTTGCCAGCCACCACCTTGGAAGGAATATAATTTCCAAGAATTCATGTTAGAACAGAGGGTGAAGAAGAAAGGAAAGGTTCACCAAAGACTATCTCTAACCAGGCCGTGCCAGGCACTTTCACGGGCATGTGCACTGAATGCCCATAGCAACGCCGAGAGGCAGGCATTACCCTTGTTTTTACATATGAAATCATTGAGGTTCAGAGATAGGAACTCATCCAGAGCTAGTAGTAGAGCTAGGATTTGTACCGGATGCGTCTGACTCCTCTGTATGGGTCCACCCTGGTGCACACCTTAACAGGGATGTTTGTTTATTGAAGAAGTAGTTGTGAAAAGATGGCAGCAGGGACAGTATCAAATGAGGGTCCATAAAGTGTTAGTTCTAAGTAACTTTCATGTTAATGACTTGGATTTAAAATTGTTTTTAATATTGTAGCTCCAGAAACTTCATCATAAGGCATTGACTGAATTTCTGAATTTCATTGTTATCCTCATGTTTCAAAAATGACCCTGGCCCCTAGCACAGCCCCTAAATACCTGCTACAAAGCATTCATGTAAGTTCTACTCATCATTATGATTTCAAAACACTTTCATTTCTTTCCAGGCCCTTCTCATTAATCATAGATATGATTGAGATAAACTATTTCCCTGGCTTTTCCTCTTTTTAACTCTCCTGTCTCCTTAGAACAATTTCCGTTCTGGTGGAACTCATTAAATTTCCCCAAAAGTGAGCAAAATAAGGAAGAATACTATTTTTTATTAGTCTCTGTTAGAAAGATTGTATACTTTTAGATCCTTCTATTGTGTGGCCCATTGGTTTAAAGTTGCTTTCTTTAAAAACTTGGGTATTAACAATAGCCACATTCTTGAAATTGCTTTAAATTGGTATCAGTTGCTTTTATGTAATGGTGAAGTGAAAGTAGAGGTAATGCCAGCATTTAATCATTAAATCTCAGTGTTTGTATAGAACTGCCAGAATGCTTGTGAAAAGTGACCGGTTTTTAAGGTTTAACATACAGTAGTTTTTAGTTTCAGTAAAAAGAATCACATTCTGTTGATGCATTTATCCATTGCTTATAACATGTTATTTTTTAATTTTCCAAGATTTGGGGAATATTTCTTTAGAAAAAAGCAAGTCAGCTTCTACACACACTTGGCATTCTGTAACACTTGTAGTTATTATCACAGTTCCTTATCACATTGACATGCTTTATTAGGACAATAATTTTTTTGATGTAATATCTATCTCACACTGCCAAGTAAATTAAATTGACCTTTAAACAAATGTGTGCTTTTTTAAATGGCATATCCAAAAATTGATTGCACTTCTAAAGGAAATATCTGTTAAGAACCATTTTAGTTTAAAATATTTTTATAATGTCAGCATACGAGGGTAATGACCCATTTTGTAAAATCTTCTAATACAAACAGTCTAATCCTTAATTTTTGTTTCTTTTTTTTTTTTTTTTTCTAATTCCTCTGTTGTAGATTCCTAACTGTTGCCAGTTGAAAAAATATTTAGCTTGGAGGTAAAACAATGACCAACCACTCGCGTCTAGAAATTCATTGAAGTTTTGATCTCTTTGGAGTCAGCTTGGAGCTGTAACAAGACCCAACACCTATCTTTTCATTCATCTGGCTCGTTGCCTCTCCGAGAGAGCCCTGCTCTTTCTATAATGAGAATTGATGGGCTGTGTGTCACTGACTTTTAAAAAGTCAGGTCAATGTTTGTTGTACCTTATCTGTTTTCAAAACATGCTTCTGAATTCTGATCCACTGTTTATAAAGCAGGACAGACTGGACATTATCATATTATATATATATTATTTTATTATTTTATATAATATGTATACATTATTATATATTATATATACAGTTTCCAAGTAGTTGTTCGGGCAAGCTGACTTTCAGCCCATTTTTCCATGCTGCCTATTGTGACCCTCCCTAGGAAGCCAGCTCAAGAACTTGGAAATCATGTTTATTTTCCAGACTATTCAGATCTTGGAAGTTCTACTGAGCAGAGGGTCTGAGTTGGGCATTAATGAGATTTAGATGGGACTGTAGGCCAGATGAAGACTGTTTCCTGTGGTGTTCCTGTTGAACCTCGTTTGTTTATTTCTGACCTCAAGAGTAGGTGTTTCAAAATGTCTGCTCCATGACCACCAACTACCACCAGTCTGTGCTATTTAGACTCCTTCAGGCCTGTGTTGGTGACTGAACCATTCTCTTGTGCCTCCTCAGACCAGTTCCTTTGGTGCCACCCAATGCACAATCACACTTCTGCCCCCACCGTTGCAAGTGCATCTCTGGTACCTCTCTATATAACAGCATACACAGTGTGTACACTTGCCTCACAAGGTGCTCATCTTTCAGTCCCTTCGCTGCTCTCTGCCTCTACCCTCATGGCATTCGAGAGCCAGAAAGTAAATTCCGAGTCAAGGTTGTCCATGCTTTTCTTGGAACATTCAAGATGAGCACCGCCATATTGGTGGCACACGGCAAGTTCTTTGGGGGTCCTGAGAATCAGTTATTCTTTCTACAGCGGAGAGCTGAGGAGTTGACTAACTAACATCCTACCTAATTCTGCCACTTTTAAACTTGCAACTCATTCTGACTTCGGGATGGAACATAACAATGGAATGTGTTTAAACTGCAAAGAGATAGATTTAACTTTCAAAACCTTTTGGAAGAAAACAATATTGTCATAGGTATACATCTGTTCTGATATTGTATGACATTTTATAATAGAGACAGAACATTCACGTATTCTACAAATAGTTGAATGCCCATTATCTGCTGGGAAGAGATCGTCTGTACCTTGAGGATACACAGCAAACCCCGCAAAACACTGCCCTCGTAAAGTTTCCCTTATACTGTTAAAACCAAAGTTAGAATTTTAAAACAAGAGAAACTTACCTAAAGGTAGCAAAGAGCTCTAAGAAACAAGATGTATCCATTTAAGGCAGTCTAAGAGTAGTTTAGATCCTGGTTAATACAGTAGGGTTCTCATTTTCTGGAATAATCACCCAGCAAATCCTTTAACTTTCTTCAGTTACCTATAATTGACTTACCTGTAATTGAATTCTTCACTTGAGAGATAGAAGTGTTCATATAGTGAGTAAGCCTCGTTCCCTTCCCAGTCTTTAAGGTGTATTTTAAGCACGTAGCGTTGCTGATTAGTCACTTGTGAAACAAACTCATTTCCCAGCCAGTATTCGCCTGAAGGGTTCCCAAATCCCTGTAATCCAAGTTGTAAAATTAAACTACCTCATTTATTTTTTCTTCATCTATTTGAAATCAATAGTCCATCAATGTGGCACGGAATAACTATCAGATATTCAGCAGACATTCCTTCCTGTACTGTGAAAATTTGGGTTCTTCCATATAAGAAAGTAGAGTTTTTTAAAGCTCAGTTTTAAGAAACAAAGCTGTTACTGGAAGAAAATTAGTATTAGAATAATTAGAACTACTTGGGGAACCACCAGTAGAAACATAAGCATAAACAGCTAGGTCTGCAGACGTGGGAAGCACTATGAAACAGTTGGCTTACCCAAAAGTGCTGAGTCTGCCATTAAAAATAAGCCTAGCGCTCACATGCCTTTGTTTTTCTATAGAGTTTACGTTACATTGACAGGACCATTCTTTAATGGGGAGACCGAAACACCAGTTAAAAAGAACACTTTGGTAAAAAAAAAAAAAAAATTGTCAAAAGTCATCGGTTAGTTGTGGATTTGTGGTGAAGCTTCTGCAGATCTCGCGAGTTAGTGTTCCCAAAGAAAATTATTTTCAGATGGTTTAAAGAATATTCGTACCACTTTATATTCCTTCCACGTCCTCTGAAAATCAACACTGCCATCTTCACGTCGCTGAATAATTGTCCACCCGCCTCCACCGGTTTCCATGTCGCAGTAAGCCTGTCAATGGGAAGTGCTCGGTTACTGCGTGAGAAACATCGCAACTCAGGTTTTCGTCTTAAGTAACAGCAACGAGATGAATGCAGATACCTATAATAAAATTTGTGCTGGTAGGGTTCTCTGGGGGAAATCTTTGTGGTCTTGCAAGAAACAGATGGTTTTAAATAAGTTGAAAACCATGAATTTAAAATAAACTGTAATATAACACGACACGTTGATGAAAATATGACTCTCTTGCCATCATCTGTTCTAGGCTAAAGACCCACCCAATAGCTGATCCAAAGACCGCTGTTCCTCAGAGATTCATTGTGAATGGGACATCCTGGCAGATGGGCCCCAAACCTCTCATCTCCAACCTGTAGAAATCTGTCAGCTTGCATTCACAGCTCTAAAAACCTTTATGATAGTTGCCAGTCCCTATCAACTCTGCAGAGAATTATGTAAAAGGGATCCTCTTGCATTGTAGGGTTTTTGAGACTCCTGTGGGGCCGTTAGGCTTCCTCCATAAGGGATAAAAGTCAAGTTGCTCGATTCATCCTCCAGTACGAGTGACCTGAGGCTTCCAGGGACCAAGTATGATGGATGTGACCTGAGTGGCCTGGCAGCTCTACCCCACAGATCATGACCTCAAGCTTCTTTGCACTTTACTCAATGCCCATGGCATTTCTCTTCCCAGCTTTTTTCATTTCTGCTTTTAAACTGGCTTGGTGGGTAAAAACGTTGTTCAGAACACAGAATTCTTTCTTGGGCTAAGAGCATGCATGCTCAATTTCAACTCAGCTGGAGTTTTATTATGAAATTAAAAACCTCTGAAAATAAGATTACATAAATAGTTGTAAATAATAAGATTATAGTAGAACGAAAAAGTTTTCCAGAAAGTTAAGATAAATTTTCCTACAGCATTCAAGGTAGTAAATATGAAAGTTAAGGTTCAAAACCAATTAGAAATATTCTTCCTTTGTTGTTTTCCATGGTCTTTGGGGGAATAATGGAGATAATTATGGCAGACTAAGTTTAAATCTGAACTATTCTGCCTTTATGAGTTAAAATCCTGCAGAATGAGGACTAAAAGAGAACCAAGACCTACGCCTTCATTTTAAGTGGCTTGCCTGATGTCTCATTGCTAATGGAATAGAGAGCTGCTATTGGAACCCAGTGCCCTGTCCTCCAGTAGATTTCTGTCCACCGCTATTCCAGTCTTTCTCCATGAAGGTCACTTGGCCCACACTGCTTTCCTGATGATCCTCATGTTTGGAAACATATGTTCCATTAAAGAAAATTATATTTAATTAAGAATAAAATGATTTCCCCATTTTAAATTAATCGGACATATAAAATTGATCTGCTTAAGATAATCTCTTGTTACCACCCTGATATGATATTATTATTATTATTAATTATCATTATTATCATTACTGTGCATCACTCTTTTGCAAGCACTATGCTAGGTACTTTGCATATATTATCTGTAATCTGTATTATCTGTAATCAGAGTTGCTGTGATACTATAATTCTGCATTTTTGAAATGAGAAAAGATTTAGTAAGGTTAGATTAATTTGATCAGAGTCATTCAGCTACTAAGTGGAATATAGGATTTGAATAATGTCTCTTTAATTCTTAATTCTGTAATGTTTTTTTCAGCTATACTGTACTGCCAAAAACAGAGAAACTTGACCTTTTTGTTAATAGGCCAAAAGTCCCTCAACACAGCTCCAAGTTGAAATCAGTTCATGAATAATACTGCCTCTTATTTGCCTGTGGTCCATGAAATGGTCAGTATTGCTCACTTCTATCAATATAATAGCTTTTTAAAAAATCCATTTAGTAAACTAGCTGAATAAGTTACATTGGTTTGAGGAATCATGTGTGTACAGAGAAATTAATTCCCCTATATCCTAAATGGCATGCTGGTGGGTGAAAAGAATTAATATGGTTCTTAGTGAACCTACCTTTGTTCCAAAAATATTTGATTCTTTGATGTCAAAATCACCATTATGAAGTTACTGATATTTAAATCAGAGAACAAGTTCATCTTGTTAGGGAGACTCGAATGGCTGAGAGTCACTACCAATGTGCAAATGATTTGAGCCATGCTATTCTCTAACTCCATCAGGGACAATGATAAGATTATTAGAACATTTTCTTAATATTACTTTGGATTAACAAAAAAACAGTTTATAAAAACTGCAGAATTATGGTTAATTGGCTCATGAAACTCTGAGAGAAAAATCATGTTCAAATAGAGTTATCCACATAGCCAGGGGTCCTGAGTGAAAATGATGCAGTCAATTACATCAGGAGCAGAGAAGCAGAAGTCCTCAGATGGTGCCCAAGACCTCACCACTCCAACTACCACAAACCTGGGGCAGTTAATGCTTTTGGTTTTTTTGCTTTTTGGTTCGGGGGCCTGATAATCTTGCTCTAAAGCTTGATGTCTTTCAGCAAATAATGCTTGATTTAAATGTTATGCTTCAGCCCTGAGGCCATGGTGAGTGACTGATTAAACAGCAAACACATAGATAAACATTAGGAGACAGGTATCCTGTGAAATTTAGGGAAAGAAACTATTATGTCTCTAACTAGCAAAAACATCCTCTAATGGTTCTGGTAATTGCCATCTTGCAGTGTCTATCTTGTACAAAAACTTACAAAATGTGTCAAAAATGAAATATGTAGGCCCTTTTGGAAAAGATCTGCCCAAAGATCTGTTGAACATTCTTTTTTTGAGTTAGATGAAACAGGGCAAAATTGAGTCCCCTGCCATGCAAAGAAGTTGTCTTATAGTCTTGGGGACAGTCAAAATGAGAATACCTCCCATTTATTGAATGGTTGGTAAGAACCAAGTCCTGTCCTGGGTACCTCCATCATCACCTTGAAACAGCTCTTTACAACTGGAGGTATTACGTAGTGTTACAGATTAGGAAACTGAGAGCTCACACAAGTTAAATGACTTGCTCAGAGGCACGAACCGGCAGAGCCAGAATTTAAATGCAAGTCTCTCCAACTTTCTCTTCCTGGATCAGATTGTGAGTTATGGAGTCTTAAGTCTGGAAGGGAATCTAGAGGTAACTTAATCTGGACCATTTATTTTAAAGATGAGAAAATTGAGGTTTTGAAAGATTGTTATTCCCTGCTGTGGTAAATGAGTTATTTTTGCTGCAAATGTTTAAAAGGAATATAAATTCTAATGTTTCCAACTATGACCTGAGACTCCTGTCATCCCAGAGTACTGTATATTTTCATCTTCTGTGAGGCCATTGGGTTGTATAGTGCACTGGGGTCGGGACATTGCTCTAAGTCAGAAAAGCACTTATCCAGCAGCAAGATGGTCCTTCTGGATTTGCAGTGGTAGCATTCACATTTTACTCATATCCTCTATCCTCCTCCTCTTGTCACTTCTGTCCCCATTATCTCTAGGCCAAGAAAAGACCAATATCTGGTGACAGACAATAGCTATGCAAAGAATTGTCATAAAAACCAGATTGCAAAGGGGATTGAAAGGCTTGGTGTAGAGTCTGTTCGTTACTTTTTCATCTGCCACAGACCATTCGGGTTTTTTTCCTCCCCCAATGCACTGTTTCTAGGGCGCTAGGGACATTAACTGATTTCAAGGTTGATTTCAAGCAGCATTAATGAATTAGAAAGATTTCTTTGGAAAGTATTATCTTGAATAGCACAATATTTATCTTTTAAATTCATAATCGAGGTATATGTTACTGTTTCAAATTTCATGTCTTTAAACCCTTAATGCTTGTATTTTTAAAGTGTTTTTCTTTATTGCCATGTTAAATACAGAGGATAATACTGAATTCAAAGAGAGAACATTTCCAGGGGCCTCTAAAATTTCCATTTGATACAGTGTCTAGTGCCTTTTCTGTAAGTGTTTACATAGTTTCAATGTGTAGCTGCTTCTACAGTTAGATGCAAACTTATAGACATTTAATATATACAGCCATCCACTATTTACATAACACTTCACACTGATTCTCATGTGATATCATTTTACGTTATCAAACCTCTAAGGGAAGCCACTTTGAAATATTCCCTCGGGAAGTGATTTTTTTTTTCCTCATCTAAAGCTCAGTGTCTCCCAAAGCAACTTGGGGAGCCATGCTCACTGAGTAGTCCAGAATAACTAAGGAGAATTGAGTTAAGCTACACGCTAGCTTCTCCTGACGGTAAATTCTGGTTGTTCATTCACTTTCCACACAGTATGGAGCTTACACCTCGAAGTAAACTCCGTGTACTTGGGAAGAAAATGAATTGCTCTCTTCGACGGTGTGTTTTAAGTCTTCTAGCCTGCGTGAGATGGGGTAAGAACAGCCTGCCCCAGCGGTCCTCATGGTGTGGGCTGCGGACTCCTGGCAGTCCCTGAGAGCCTTGCAGCAGCTTCACGAGGTTGAAACTGTTTCCATAATCACTAAGATGTTCTTGGCCTTTGCACTGTGATGGCATTTGCCCTGATGGCACAAGAGTGGGTGGTGCACTAGTGGGTGAGACTGCTGGTGCCCTGGCATGGGGAACAGTACAAACTGTGCTAGAGTCACTGTATTCTTCAGTCACATGCTCACACTTGGGGGAGGAAAAACACAGTAAAAATTATTAATTTTATTAAACCTCTGCTGCTGAGTCTATGTCCTTTTATAGTCTGTGTGAAGAAATGGGAAATGTGTATAGGTCACTTCTGCACGCCAAGGTCTCAAAGAACAAATTCTGTGTGATTGTCTCAGTTATGAGTCGAATGAGCCCTTTTTTGGGGGATGGAATACCATTGTTACTTGAAACAACAATTGAAAGACACACTATGGTTATTTGAACACTGGAATTTGGGGGGTATTTTCTTTAAAATGAACGAAATGAGTCTGACACTTCAAAGAAAATGACTGACAGTCTGCATGATTAAGCCAAATACAAGGTGAATATAAGATAGATCTAATATATAAGATAGGTATATATAATAAGATAAGTGTTTCTACATCATTAATATCATGTCAATATTCTGTGCACATTGATTGGACTTGGAGCCCTTGGCGAGTACTTTATGTGATGCAGACACTCGGTAAATGCCTTTTTCTTTGCTTTGAGTGAAATTGGGGAAGTATCTGGGGTGTGTGAACTACACTCTGCAGTTCCTCCACTTCTTAAATGACCTGCTTACAGCCAGGGAGTTAAGAATGGGAGACGAATCTCTTACCTTTATCTCCTCCGTGGAGTTAGGGAATGTTAGCTTGTAGATGCCGTTGGTCGTTAGTCCTGATTTGAATGCTTCCGCACAGTCTCTGAAGATGATCCGTTCTTCCTTAGCAGCAAAGGAGTTCTTAGCTGCTTATAAAAAAATAGGAAAAGATTTAAATGGTGTTCATGAAAAGATAAAAGTTTACTATTTCAAGATGAACTCATCTGGTAAGTTTTCTTACATTTGAATTCTCATAGTAAATAAGTAAAAAGGATTTGCCAGTTTTTTAGCCATTCCAAAAAAGTTACTCTTTCAGCCTGTTTCATATTCATTCTCTAAGATTGTTACCAATAATCCATACTTCCTTTTTTTTTTATCATCGACTATGTAAGGCAAGTACTTCATAATCAGCTATAATAAAGTACTACTTTGTAAAAATCTTCCATCTTGAGTAGAATCAGATAAAGTTATTACAGAAGAATAAAAAAAGAACATTCCTAAAAGCAGGATTACCTCTACAGTGGATGCGTCACACAGCCCACTAGTCATTAGCCTGTCTACACTGTGGTATCTGCTCTTTTCCTTTCTTTTTATATATCTGAGACCACGTCTTTATACATTTCTTTAGACTATTGGTGAAGACATTTAGTAGTCTTTGGATTTTTAGCAGCTGCAACATAATAGTTTGTGTTAAAGAGGAACCTAACGTTTATTTATCTATGTCTTTGAAATTCTTCCTATAAAAATTCTAGGGCTATGAAATTCCTTCAAATTTTTATTCTGCTTTCAACATTTAGACTGCCCAATCCTTTTTTTCCACATTAAAAAAAATACGTGTGGATGTGTGTTCTTGCAGGTATTTGTTTCTATTTCATTGTAGAGACCTAACAAAGCAGGGGTCTGTGGACTGAGTGGCGTGGACGGGGTCACATCTGCTCATCAGCTAGAGACACACGGGGAGACCAAAGCCCTTCTGCTGCTCTTTCTCCCATGCTCATGTTCTCTGCCAGGATTTGAGCTACATGATTTTCTCTACATTGGCTCATTGGAGCTAACACCTCACACTGTCTTGGTCCCACCAGACAGTGTTGGATTATTGTCTTTTCCTTTTGGATGAATGTGAAAAATATATGATTTTTCTAAATTATAGGAGAGTGAAACTCTAGTTGGGAGGCACATGTTGCAAACTGGCAGACCAGTGTGTGACTTGCCACTCAGCATCAAGATTGTGCCACTGTTTTTGTTTGTTTCCTTGTTTGTGTTTCTATTAAAATTGTGATAACTGTGTAACTCAAAGAAAATATGAGAACATATTTCTTATGAAAGGGAAGACTGTCTCTACATGATTAATATGTAAGATGTATCTGTCTAAAAAAAAAGAATACAAATCAAAAGGACATTATTAAATAAGCTATAGTAAGAACTAAGCCTAATTTGTTTAAAAGAAAAACTTAAGTAAAAATACCACAAAGATTATATATCACATCTCTATTAATAACCAAAGGTGCATCCCTTCTTCCCTCTAATATCTAAGAGAAGTTGAAAGGTAAAACCGTAATAAAGAAGGCAAAATATGTTTAAGGATGTGGCAAGAGAAGCGAACTAGCATTTCTTGAGTGCCAACTTTATGCTGGTTAGTACAATGTTATCTCATTTAATCTTCACAATAATCCTATGGTCTGATAGTTTTTCCCACTGGAAGAATTAACTTGCCTCGCCTCGTGCTTCCAGTTAATGATGGCACTAACGCAAAGTAGGCTCTCTGAGCCCATGAATCAAAAGTATGTTTGTGGTGTTTTGCTTCCTAATAATTAATTAGTATACATAAATATTCCCCCTCCCCTCCTCTTTCTCCCTCTTTTTAATTGGTTCTATGTTGAGACCCTATAAAGCTTTTACATGAAATACGTAAGAGAAACAGTGCCTTTTCTGAAAGATGAGAGTTTTTTTTTTTTTTAATTTTGAGAGTTTCACTGACTAACAGCAATTGAAACTGAAGAAAAATGGTATGTAAATGTTACTTACAGTTTGATGTCGATATCATAGTCAATAAATTATGAACTGTCTCCATCAGATCATGCTGCTGCTTTTGGAGAACTGAATTATTCACCGTGGCCGTCACTAATTGTTTTTCTAGTTCTTCAATGATGGAATTTTGCTTGGATACTAACACCTGGAGCTGATCTTTCTCTTCTTTTATTGACTGAAGTTGAACTATGTGCTTGTCTTCCATATCTAGTACTTTCTTTTCCAAGAAACTTGTAAAGGGAATAATTGTTAGTTAGTGAAGGGTGTTCTGACCCATCAAAGGCTAGTGCTTTAAAAACATCTAATCAGTTTCATAATTCTTATACAATTGTTTATATTTATTGTATTTCTACTTCTCTAAAGCATTTCTACTTCTCTAAAGCATTTCTACTTCTACTCTGTTAAGATGTTAAAGGAGTTACAAAGTGACAAGATGTTGCCACAGCCCTGAAGAAGCTCAAACTTGCTGAGATTAGATACATAGATATGACAAAGGTTCTCTGTCTCCATTGAGGAGAAAATACCCTGGTGAGAATGTAAAGTCCATAACTAGAAGTTATCACATGCAGCGCATCTGAAGACTTTAGTTTCACTGAAGAGGAATGTGGACATTGAGAAGGTGTCCTCAGTGTTAGGGGCACGTGTGGGCAAGTAGAAAGAGTCCTGGGCTGAGAACCTCAGCTCTGTGCATGACTACCTGTGTTACCTGGGTAGGCCGTCCTCTCTCTGATCTCAGGTGTATGTCTATCTCAGTGAATAGCCACCTACAGAAGTAAATCTCTGTCTAAGATGAAGGCCTTAGATAATCTCTGAGGCCCCTTCTAGTTCAAATAATCTGTAAATCTATTATGCCTTTGCGGGGGTGGGGTGTAACATTTTTCTGTGTCTTGAACTCTGCAAACAGCATTATTCAGCTGAGGAACTGACTACCTATTATAGATCTTGCCTATAAGCAGTAACAATCAATATTAATAATTATTATTAGAAATTCAATTGCAGCTCTTAAATTTATCCCAGCCCAGTGATCACTGTAAATCAGTATACGACAATAAATATACTGTCAATATAACAAGTCAATAAATAATGTTACCTTAGTACAGTCATTTGCATTTTACTTTCTTCAGTTTCACCTTATTCACTTTTCAACTATTATTTCTTAATATTTTTCTTGATATCAACTAACTTATTTTTTAATTTGTATATCACTTTCACTAATTTAAAAACCAAGATGGCTTACCATAAGCAGAAGGTAACCTAAGAAAAAATGCATAAAATTTTTCTGTTTGCTACCTAAAATCATTTCTAATACCATCAGCATACAGGCAATATGCTTTGGGAAACACTCCTACAATGCCTGACCAAGACAATTAACATTAAATATATGAGACATTTTTAAATCATTGATCTATACTGCCTTCAAAAGGATGATGCTGAAATTTGTTATCCAACCATTTTTTGTTGTTTTTAATATCCTATGAGGAGGCAGAAAGATGTGAGGATCATATGGTACAGAGTGTGAATGAGAGTTAAATGCTCTGGGATGGATATTAAAAAAACAAACAAACAAAAAACTTTAGTCTCTTTCTGCCAAACCTATACCAGTCACATCCTGATCAAAAAGATTTAATCTTAAGATTAAATGCAAGCATATATTGAAGAGTTGTGCCCAGCATCAAGTCATCCCAGACCAGGCTGGCTCTGAGAGCAGCACCATGTAGTGAGTACAGAAGCTCAGATCATTGCATTTTTAAACTCTAAAGAGTCTCTCAGATCATATTCTAGAGCAACATTTTGCAAAATTCAGATCGGGACCTATTAGTGGCTTGCAAAATCAGTTTAGTGACTCACAATCATCATTTATTTATTTATTTTTGTGTGTGTGTGAGGAAGATCAGCCCTGGGCTAACATCTGCCAATCCTCCTCTTTTTGCTGAGGAAGACTGGCCCTGGGCTAACATCCGTGCCCATCTTCCTCCACTTTATGTGGGACGCTGCCACAGCATGGCCTGACAAGCCGTGCGTCGGTGCGCGCCAGGGATCTGAACCGGCGAACCCCGGGCCACCGCAGCGGAGCGCACACACTTAACCGCTTGCACCACCTGGCCGGCCCCACAATCAGCATTTTTTTAACGAAAGGAAATTAAATGGGATAAAACAGATGAGAATAGAGTATAAATTCATAGCAAGAACTTAGCACACTGCAACAAATACCATGGTCAATAGTGATAGGTGGTGGAAGAGAGGAAGGGGAGCAGCATGGGGTACACGTGCATTGTTTGAAATTTTGCCCATTAGCATCCTGTTGATTTTCTGATACAGGAGGATCAATTTGATCATCACTATAAAAGTTGGACTTAGGTACAGCTTTATATTAACATAATTCATGGTCAGTTGAGCAGTGTGGGGAAATATCCTGTGTTGGCAGAAATATCAAGGCTGAAGCGTGTTTCTTTTGTGAGTTTTTATTGCCTCTCTTCAGAACGGGACAGTGTCAATGGCAGCACTTTTCAACAACAATAATCACAATTTAATTGAACTGGCCCAAACAGCCCCTAAATCAATCATTTATTTTAGAGGGAAAAAGAATGATAAGATGAAAAAATGCATAGTACTTTGAACTTCAGCCGGTGAATCTAAACGTGTCATAGTGGCGATTTTCAAAAAATGTTGGCCCTACTAAGTACTCTGACTTCATTTGAACCTGTTCTGTGACGAAAGCAATTGTACTTTTGGGGAATTATTGAAGAATATTTAAAATACGGTTTGTCAAATGTGCAAAACATTTGCATATTTTTGTAATGATGTTCTTGCAAATGAAATCCTAGACTAGTCAAAATTTAAGGCACCTGAAAACACAGCATGCCAAACTCATTGAAAGATGTAAAATCATTGGCACAATTTTCTTATTTTTATTTGTTACAGCCGTTGATGAAAAAACCTTATTATTGTCATTTCATATGATATGACAAATTTCATATTCGTGATAAAAGAGAATGTAGTTTCTGCAGCTGCTAAAAAGATTATTCTTCCTGCAGGTGTAGGTTTGTTACGTGTGGTTTTTATGATAAATCAGCTGATAAAACCTGTACTTTTTAGTATTTGTACTATGGCAAGTCACTCAGAAACAGTTCTTATCCAACTCTAGTCTGAGTTGGATGTTTGCAATCCAAGTTGTGGAACACTGCTGTTGCAAGTCACATAAAATTTTAGTTTTTTAGATATATTTGACAAGGTTATTGTGTGGAAGAAATGTTGTGATGTTTAAATTTAATTTCATATAAAGCTAGATTTGATTTATTGAAAAGTACATTATTGGTCAATGTAAATTAAACTGGGAAAAATTGTGAAGGACCCAAGTGAAAAAAATGTGAAGGATCATTTTACTGATAAGTGTAGCATTGTAGCATACTAAATTAGAAACCTAAGGAAGTAACGGTGTTCAATACTAGGGTGTGTTCAGCAAACTGGACTCAAAGACATTATTGTTAGGGCAAGTAAGAAAAGTCATCACCCAGCTCCCGTATCTTCCCAATGTTACTGCAACATATTGAAGAAAACATCATTAAATAAGACCATTTTAACAAAATGAAAATAGAGAGATTGTTATATCTCAATTACTGGTCTCAACTTTTATTTATCTCTTTGTAGGACAGAAAAATTGAAACATTAAAAAAAAATAATTAGATAAAAAAATAAGTTTGCTTTTCAAAACCCTAAATCAATAATAAGTTAAACTTGTTACCTAAACAATAAAAAGAATTATTTTCGCTTAGTTCTTGATTAACGGGAAGGAATGATTATAACACAATAAGTCTATCGTCATTTTTGGCTAAGAATAAAGAATTATTTAAATTGTAAAATAGAAAGAGTGTATTGTTGTCTGACCATTCTCCGTGTCATATATACATGCCTTGATTAGAAATAAGTAGATAAGCACAGTAGGTGTGTGAGTACAATTATCCTCATACGTCCCCAACTGGAATAGACCTATGAAAACAATCCCCACTGATCACCCATCATTTCTGTTTTTGTGTTCGTTTTCTTGGGATTTTTCTATACTGTATTTAAATATTAATGCAATCATATTTAATACCAACTTTTGGTTTTGCCTCATATGTTTTAAGAGGAAGTATTGCATCATGACACCTGCATTGGTTTACAATATAAAGTATAGTTTTTCTGCTGTAGATTATTTTGCATTGGAAAAAACTGAGTGCTCAGAGGCAAAGAAACTTTGTAAAGTTAATATGAGAATTCCTAGGCCAGTGTTACTTTTACTCCATAATACTAGCAGTATTTTTTTATAGATTAACATGAATAATATTGAGGCGGTTTGCAGGATTTCTGTAAGAGAATCTTTAAGGGGCCAGAGAATGAAAAACAAAATTGAGAACTGTATAAGAAGGTGCGTGCCATTTCAATATTTTTCTCCAAACCCTCTCCCTACCTTTCCCTCAGAAGCTTTCTGATTCTTATACTATACTTGAAGAAATTCGGCATTTTGGAAATCCAGGCTTATAATGGACAGCCACATGGAATAAGCTTTCGTATCTAGAAAGTGTGCAATTCTGGATTATAAATGTTTTTGTCCTTTTATTACCTGTTCTTATCTTGCAATTTGTTTATTTCACTGGTCTGATCCAAAATCTGTTTTTCCAATTTGTTTGTAGAAAGGGAATGTTCCAGAAGCTGAAGTTCGAGCCTTGTCGTCTGATTTAATACCTAAATGGAACAAAACAGAATTCCTATTTACCATTTTTAAAATGAGATATAACTTCCTTTTTAATTAAGTTATCTAAATTATAGGGAAACATGAATGCAACATTATTTGCCCAATTTCTTATTTTGGCATATTTTTCATTTTCAGAAAAGGCTGGATTACATCCGAGTGTGTTAAACATTTTTTCACCATATCTTTATTTTGGAAAGCATTTAATAGTTCTTGACAACGGTGTTGGTGTCAAATAATAGAATGTTATTTTTCTTGTTCTGCATGTTTTGTCATTTCTTTTCACAGTGAGACAAGTGGGAGCGTAAAATGGTCATTTTTAATATATCAGAAACTGTCGATAAGTGAAAAATGGTTTTGCCTCTGCTCAAAACAAAATGCTCTTCTCATGTTTGTTTGTCAGTAGACAAAGTGTCTGGCAGTCACAAGCTTCCATTCTATAAAAATGCAGCTCATTTTTAGCCCAGCATTTCCTAGTTGGTATTCACTTGTTTAGCCTTTTATGTTTTTTTCTTTTCCATTTCTCATTTTCCTATTTTAAAAATCATGTTAACCAATTCAGAAACAATAACATGTCAGTATAAGTGGGAGCTCACTTTTGCTTTGTGGGCCTTTCTGACATATACCATGTGCAGTATCGCTGTTCCCATTGTGTTCAAACAACTTTAAGGACAAATTCTTTAGCGTTTGGCTGCCTTTTAGCAGGAAGAATCCATTACTCACATCCTCTGTGTCATGGTTATTCAGGATGTGATATCACGTGTAAGTGTAAGGCAGAATTGTTGCCCAGGAATTAGGGTCCTTGAAAGAAGCATTGTTTGTTCGGGGTCTGTGTCATTCATAAAAGGCTTGGCCTGGCCCCACTGTGCAGGTTTAGGGACGGTCGATCTTTAATCAAAGCTGGATGCATTCATACCATGAACACTCTTCTGTGAATGAATAAAGGTGTTGGCCAACATAAGGGTTGGGTTTTAATATTAACACCTGGAATATAGATTTGGCCTATGTCTTCTTTGGGTCCAAACATTCTTTGCTGGTTATTGCTAAAAGGAACTGGAAACTCGAGTCTTTTATTTAACTTATAAGGGCTATAAGTGAGTACGATGGGGAGGATGGTGTATAGGTCCTGACTGACCAGGACCAATGACGATGTCCTTCCATCACGTTTCTGAGGGCCTCCAGCTGCAAGTGGTTGTCTAAATTATGCAGGTGAGGTGCTTGTCTGTTTTCTCTAAGATCTCAGATGTCTAACCATCCACCATTGTCCAGTTTGATAGTCTCTCACTCTGACCGGCTAGAAGAATCTTGCTTCTAATCAGAAATTTCATGTTTGGATTTAAACCTATTTCACCTGCTCAACAAGTGCCTTTAGCTAGGCTGGGTACGTAATTCAGTCCCTTGATCTCCTTCCTTAGGCTCAGCCATTCTAATATGTTTAGTTGGACATTATAGGCTGTTTTCTTTCCAGCCATTTTCTGATTTTCCTGTTTATCCTGGATCATATGATATCTAGTTTCACAACAGACTTTTTTTAAATCATGTGACCCAACAAAGGCGCATTAGATGCTTGTAGGCTGACTGACACAGGATGCAGCAGGTTTGCATCATTGCTCCATGTCTCATAGTTTTTTATTACTCTTCTCTGAAACATAAGAAATGTTACACTTCCAGGACATGTTTTGGATGAGCTGAATTTCCCACCAGTTTTACTTTCAAAAGGTGGGAAGTGTGACTTAAACAATACTGATTTATTTTAATAATCGACTATGGATATATTGATACATTTACTTTTAAATTTTTGTATCTTTTCATTTTTAGCTTTTATTACTTCTTGGGATTACAATTTTCAGTACCTTGTCATCCCTCGTGTCAACAATTTCTATTTTTCCTAAAACTGTTCTCATGTTGTGTAAAGATCTGGTCAGCAAATAAGTTCTTATTCTATCCTCAGACAAACATCTTTTATTCCTCTGACACTTCCTGACTATTTGCTCTGCCTTATCCCGCAGTTTTTAGAGAGGGATAAAAGAACACCTGTGCCCTTCTAGACGCGGTCTTATCACAGCTGGGTGATCTCACATCCCCTCCTGGCTGGTGCCTGGCATTTCTTGTCCTTTCAGCTGAAGTAGCATATAGGAGTAATATATCCTGGGAATCATTTATAATTAAATCTACTTTTTTTTTTTTTTGAGTGTGATTTATAGCTCGGAGTATGAAGATACTAACTTCACAAGCCTGTAAAGAAGGCAGCACTAGGAACCAGAAAGCCAATTCACCAATGAAGAGGCTTGAACTTGGAGCATCTCCATGAATTCCTCCAACAGCACTTTTCCCACCTGGACTATTCTTATTGGGTCACATGTTTTGTGTCATTTAGCATGACTCTGGATGAATTTTGTTTTAATGTTTTGCTGTTATTCTTTTATGCTTTTCATATTTTATACTCTTCTTTCCTACTATTCATCCATAGCTCATAGAATCTTCAGGCTAAAAGGCAAGATTTTAGCCTGCAGGCTAATCTGAAAATTCTGAACTTCAGGCTAATCTTAATTTACCAGTCAGTCATCTGGCCCCACCTCTCAGTTTATAGTGAAATCCCTGAGGCTGAAAAGCTGAAAAGCAGAGGGCCTTGCTAGATTTATTTGTCCCGATGGTGGTGGGACTCGAACTGTGACAGACTCAGGCTCCTGGCTAATGGTCAGCCCTCTCTGTCCCCAGCTGCTGCTCCTTACTGTCCTATTTGCTTCTTTCTCTCTAAACTCATACCACAAATTGTATAAACTCAGTTCTTTGAGATGCAGGTTTTATCTTAACTCAAGAGTTAGATTTAAGAACAAAGTTTGTAGCACTCTCCCTCAGTGCTTTTCATTTCTCAAATGCACAAAAAAGAGTGAAGGACTTCAGAATGAAGAGTATGTCGAGAGTCCAGAAATGACCAGTGAGCAGAGGAGCCTTGATCTTGTAGTCGTCAAGTAGGAATAAGATGAAAATGATTTGAATGTCCTTAGTAGAATAAATGTAATTTAACCTCAATACTGAGAATGAAAATATATTTACTGATTTTAAATTCCTATCTAGCCACAAGTTCTTAATTTCTTACCAATTCCTTTCTTTTTTTCCTGCTATACTTGAGCTTTCTTTACTTTTCCATTATTTCATGAAGTGACCGTGCAGAATGATTTCGTGCTGGTATTTATCTGGCTGGACCTTTGTGTGTGTTCTATTTCCTTACTTACTTGGGCTTCAACATCAGTTAACTTCCGTGTTTGCTCTGCGGTTTGATTTAGTAGGTTCGTTCCTATTTCTATCATCACAGCCGTCTGGTTCTGTACTGCATTCTGTTGCATCTCTACCATTTCTTTCTTCATGTTGTCCTGGATATAATTCTCAAGCTGGAAAAGAACACGTGTCAGAAAGAGAGCCATTAGTCAGATGACCAGAAACCTTATTCCTAAATATCTTCCCTTTCTTTTATAAAATCTATTGGAAGACTTGTGCCTTGCTCTGATTTTGAAATCTTGCTGTTTTTTTTTTTTTATCACTACCAGTAAAACACTGTGATTTTGTTAACTCAAAATCCAGCAGCTTAGTAACAGCATGTGTAGGAGACAAACTGTTTAGATCCCTCTAGAAGTCCACACTGTGGCAGGCGAGGGAGGTAGTGAGGCCACAGCTCGGAGATGCGTGCAGTTCAGCAGAAGGACCACAGGGATTTCACTGTGTTGCGTCCACTCTGCCAAGCTGCAGCTCCGTCCACGTGAGGCAGGAAATGAAGATTTGGTGCTAAGAAGCATCATCGTTTCTACGACATTCTACATTTAATGGTTTCTCGAAACACAGACGTTAGAAGGCTCTCGAAGACAGAGTATGAGGGAAGGTGCACCTTTGGATTTTCCCCGTAGCTAAGAGAATCACCCCTCAGTTCCACATTCTGCAGTGTCCCCCTACCCTCCTTTTATTGAGTTCATCATGCATTTGACCTATTAAGTTTTTCCTCACATGTACGCATTTTTCACGATTTCATCATTTCATATATCAGGCAAACTTTTAACCCTACACCAGTCCATTCATCATTTCACGTGCCAGTCAAGACTGGTCCTTCTCCCAGGAGTTGCTATGGACGATGGGCGTGCTGACTCGTTGTAACGTGAGCTTAAGCACAAGAGAGTGAAGAAGCTAATTTCACTGCCCTAGGTATAAATACCTATATCTTTGGCTGTAAAATTATATAATGAAATATAAATGCAGGACAGCCAGGCGTGTGGGAAAGAGCATGTGGGCTTCAGGCCATGGACGCCTGCTCCCCTGTTTCAAGCCTTTGACTCTAGGTAAGTTGCTTAACTTTGGGGGCCCCCAGTGTCCTCATATATAAAGTAAGGTTTCTGATTGGTCAGAGGAGTGTTTTAAGGATTAATTAAGCTATGCTTTTAAAGTCATTGTGCATGCATAACTTCAGGTACTTAAAATTTATTTTCCTTCTTTGATTTTCGTACCGATCCAGTGATGGGAGCCACAGTTCCATTAATTGATTCAAACTATAGGCTCATGAGGAGAGAAACCCTATTTTTCTTTCTTTTTCACATAGTTACAACTCAAAAGTTTTTTGATTAAATTGAATAATTGAAAGTAGATTATAAAACTGCTTAGAGTGCCTCTCTTTAAAACTCTTAATTCTCTGCAGAGAAACCATTCATAGATCCAGTCATCAAACATAATTTCTCCTAAATGTTAACCACTTAGTAATTCTGTCCTTCTGCCTGAAAGAGTGAGAAAATGGAATGGGAAAGATGGAGTTTCTCCCTTAGAGTTTGAAGGCTCCTTTGTTGGTGCAATTTATAGATTGTGTCTTGAGTAGTATTTTAAGGTCTAAGGTTAGTCTTAGAACCACAAGGTTACTGCTTCCATTGCTTGCTTGCTTGCTGTTGACTCTGTCCCTACTCCTGTGCTTCCCATCTCCCTCCATGCTAGTTATCTTGATGGTTAATGGTCACTCCCTGATTCTCCCTTCGTTGTTGGGCAGATCAAATAGCCTGAAACCTGACAATTACTAGAGCTCTGATCATTTGTAAAATCTTGTAGTCAAAGCTTTCTCTTCTCAGTATGAATCAAAACAGATTAGACCACTATAAAAAAAATCAAGTACTATTACTCGGCAATCCAACATCTCTGATATAGACTTCATAAACTGTCAAGAGTGATACTCTTTATTAACTAGCTGGTGCTAACTAGCTCAGGCTTTTTAGTGCGTATATTCTTTCTTTTTTAATTCGCTCTTTCCATCTTCCCTTCCCCCTGCCTTTTTAAAACTTTTAACTTTTATGATTTAAATACAAATTTAAAAGAAATTGTAGATAGAAGTTTATAATTTCTCCTTTCTTTCTCTCTCTGTCTCTCTCACACGCACACACACACTCTCACACTCTCTCCCTCTCTCTCATCACCAGGGAGTAATGGAATTTTTGAGGTTAAAGTCAAAGCTATATAAGTCATCCAGAGGAGTTGTCTTAGTTACTCTTAACGCCCAGCAGAGATAATATTTAGAAAGACTTATTCTGGGAAGTTTGGAACTATTAAAGATGTTCTCAAGCTGGAGTTTGGTTTAAGTCCATACTCTGAAGTAATAATTTACAAAATATTATAAGTAAAAGTCTTAATCTTCTTATTGATTGCAGTACTTAAAAGCTAAATAAAAATAATTCTTTCTTTCTCTCTCTAAATCATGTAACTAGAGGGAGAAAATGAATGCTTTAATCCTCCCCACCCCCATTTCTAGAACTACTTGGTAAACGTGGTTACAATCATCAACAGTCATGAGAGGATTGTTTATAATTTGACATTTTAAAGTCAAGTTCTAATTTAAAATTAGACTTAGGAACTTTAAGAGACATAAAAGACCTAATTTTTAAAAATAAAATTTAACTTTATTGCCATGTCTTTTTCTAAACTTGAAAATGGTAGAATGCAAAATGCTTTTTAAGTCACTACTTTTCAGCTTTTCAGGATGACAATGTATATGTATATGGTAGGTGTGTGAGTGTGTGTATGGTTAATCTTTTTTCTTTTAAAGATTTTATTTATTTATTTTTTTCCCCCCAAAGCCCCAGTAGATAGTTGTATGTCATAGCTGCACATCCTTCCAGTTGCTGTATGTGGGACGCAGCCTCAGCACGGCCGGAGAAGCGATGTGTCAGTGCGCGCCCGGGATCCGAAGCCGGGCCGCCAGCAGCAGAGCACGCGCACCCAACCACTAAGCCACGGGGCCGGCCCATGGTTAATCTTACATTGAAGCAAATTACAGATATACATATACATGTAATGTGTGTGTATATAGATATTACATATAGTATATATGTGTATAGTGTCTATATACAATATAAACAGCTAAATAAAGGAAAATTCTATATGATACTGACCCATTTGCTAACTAATTGAAGTCCTTGGGAGAAAAGTGGAACAGAAACAGAAATATCATGTACTAGACATTTGGTGTTGATTCTCAAAAAGATTTGCGCTCTCACACTTGAAGCAGTGAAAATAAGTTAAGATTTTAAGAGAAATGCGTGATATGACAGTCGAGGACTCTTTAAGAACAAAGAAGAATTTAGTCCCAGAAACAACAGCAACAATAACAACACAGTAACTAGTTAATGTTTGTTGGTTACTTCCATTGTCTCAGCTGCTGTGGCCTCCAAGTGCCTAGTATCGTATAGGCAAGGGCACTTCTGAGGACTGGCATGCCTGTGAGCAAACTGGTAGTTCAACCCAGAGGTCACGCCACACGTTTCCAGCCTTTTAACAGCCGGAAGTGTATATCCCAAAATTGGCATGAGTATGCCTTCCGGTTTCCAAGGTTCTCAGTGCCTTAAAAAACAGATAGACCACCTACCACTCAAAGAATTTTTTTTACTACAGAAAAGCCTAGAATTGAAGATCACCAATGCTGATTTTATCTCCTGGGAGCATCATGACAGAAGAATCTGTTTTTCCCTCCAAAAACTAGTAGTAATTTTTAGAGAGCAAGAGTCTGGACATTCATAATGTAGGGTAAAAATGATAATTTCCAAATGAAATTCTCCCATTTAATGTAGTCTTTCCCTAAATCATTACAAGTCAGGAGCATAAGACCAAATCTGGAAGTGAAGCCTGTGTGACTGATCCATCCGGACAGATGCACCTTGAAACTTCCCCGTCTCTTGATCTTCGGGAATTAGTTCTTTTCTAGTTTATTGCCCTGAAATGAATGTCTTTCTGTCTAGCATCTCCCTTATTTTTATTGTGTGTCACTGAAACCCAGAAATACAGAAATCTGACCAATGAAATTCCATTCTGGTATAAGGAAGTCTTAGTACAAAAAAGTATATGAGGCAAATAAGATCTCTTCTCCCATTGGCAGCCTGATACTCGGCTCTGCTGTGACAAATGTTTCCCATCCTTGCCATTTGCACTTAGCCCCTCTAATCAAGACAGTTCCAAGACACTTGAACCTCCCGAGGGAGGAGACATGGTTCCTTCTCATTTCACATGTGTGGCTTTGCATACTCATGTTTTGCAGGAATGTTTGACACTGCCTTCATATCTGAAGACGATTAGGCAGTAACTCGGACTTTTGGTCCAAGTGTCTCGGAAAAGGTCCCCATTCCAAGTTTGGAAGGACTGTGGACATTCATTCTGTCCCCTTCTTAATTAATGGTCTGAGTGCTCTTCCAAGTGTGGGCCTTGAGCTATTTCTCCTTCCTTAGAATTCAAATGAATTCTTAAAGTTTAACTAAAATTTTAAGGCTATCACTATCGTTATAGTTGCACAGATTGTTGCTCAGTATTATTTTGATTTGCTAAAAAAGAATTACACCCTGAACACAGTCTTTAAAAGCTGGCAACATATTGAAGCTCCAGCAACGAGAATATAATATTGTAACACATCATAAACATACATTTTTTTTAATGTAAAATACGTCCTGAAGTTTTTCATTACTCTCCAACATTTGGAACGATCACATTTGACAGGGAAAATAGGTCCATTTGCGAGGCAACTATGGCAGATGGATTACACATTAAAATGTTTCCCTCACAGTCTTCCTTCTCACCAAGATTATCATCATTATTTTTTGTAGCAAAAGGATGAGAAAAGGAAAACATAGATAGTGTACAAAAACTGTCCCCAACTCGAGATTTTGATGATGGTTCCTTTTATATGGATCCTGGCTGAGAGATCATTTCCACTTAAATAAAGCTCCATGTCCTGATGCCTCCTAATGGATGAGTTTTTTTATCAATTTGAATGACCTAATTTTCCTATGAAATTAACAAATAACTTGAGGTTTCATTGGAAACATTTTACTCTTTAGCATTGCAATTTCGAAATG